AAAAAAAAAAAAAAAAAAAAAAAAAAAAAAAAAAAATCAAGTAAGTTGAATAAATAAAACCAAGGATCTAGTTAGCAATGGCTCTTAGCTCACCTAACACAAAGCCACTCTGTTTGCTTCTATAGCGCTCTCCTTGTGTGATTTCTACTGAAGCTAACTGTACACTAGGCTTTAAGGACCTCTGGAAGTTTGTTTACAACTTGGTTTTCTCTGTTGACAAGGCCACTGTGATGTCATTGTCCTCCAAGCCAAACTGCCACCTTCCTCATCAGATCAGCTGTGCCTATTTGCAGATCATCCCAGTAGGGCTGATGGACTGCAGACACTCCTTCAGAGAAGGAGCTGGTGGGAGGGTCATTGAACCCCGGCCTAAGCAGCTAGCTAGTGGCACACATTTCTGTCCTAATGGTACAGGCCTCAGGTCTCAGGGAGGGATTTGAGTGTACAGGCTGGGAGACTGAAGGCAGGCAGGGAACTCCCTCTACACAGACACTGAGGTAATTTAAGTCACCCACACTCCTACTAGTCACCCCTCACCCATGCTCTGTACCTAAGTCCAATAAACTCATTGGTTCCCCAGGGAGAAGTCTGATTTGCCATTGGCACTTCAGAAGGCAGGGAGTAGACGTTGCAGAAATCCTCTCCAAAGGTAAAAATTCTCATGATGCATCCACATGAAACTTCACAATTATGCATAGTTGGAAAAATCATCATTTTAACCCATTTGGAACTTTAGTTCCAAAAAAGTTAATTTCTCAAGAAATTGGAGGAATTGAGAGTCACATTTCATTGTTGAACAACGAAAACTGTTCAAATTAAGAATAGCATATGCTCGGCGAAGGAGAGGAACCAAGGTGATGATGGCTATTGTCCCTTCACAGCATCTAAGAAAGAAACATGGTTCTGAGAACTTGGCAGAGCAGTCTGGACATGCTGGGCTTGTGATTCCCAGAATCAGCTCTAGGAGCCTGCGATGGCTGTTATGGCTGGATGGGAGGGCAGGAGAAACAGACACAAGCAGCAGACTAGGTGCAGGCCAAGCTGCAACCACAAACTGCCTAAGGTTGGACTGTAGCGTTTGGGAGCGTTTGCCTCTGGCCGCTGGGGAAACCAGGACAGAAGCGAGCCAAGCTCAGAGACTTCTGCTCTGGGCTCTGCTGGGATGAGAATCCATAAATCTTAGAGAAGAGCTGGGTTCTCAGACAAGGGGATCTCTAGGTCCCGACAGGAAAGGACACCCTTCCCGTCTGGTGATAAATGGAGAGACAGAAGGTTTAACTTTAAAGTGGAAGCAGGAACTGAGAGCCCACCCGCAGGGTGGTGAGCTGAGAGTCAGATTACAGGAAAGCCAGGCTCCAGCTCAGAGTGATTCACACCTTGAAGCCCTGTCCACTGCATAACAGGGGCCCAGGCATCTGAATCTATTTGCCTCTTGGGCACAGAGCTGTTAGCTCAGACCCTTCATGTTCTCCAGGATAACCTGTACTTGCATACAACCTGCTCTGTGGGAAGGGAAAATCCCCCTGAGAACAGAGGAATCAGGCTACTGAGACTCATAGCACAAAGACCTGGGACACCCCTGGGAACCAAGTTTGATCACGTGATCCCAGAGAGAGCTTGGATATCTCAGCCCGCAGTATCCAATGGCTGTTTTCAGGAGAAAAGAAGGGGTCTTCTATGAGTAAAATTTAATGACTGAGAAACAAAAATAAAATGAAAAAAATTCTGCCCCAGAAGAGGGTAGGCTGTAAGGGGGAGAGCCTAACATCTTAATGGAAACACATGCCTTTCTATTATAACTTAACTACATTTGTATAATGATACAAAACATGTCTTCAGTGGCTGTCTCTGGGAAGACAGAAAGGCTTACAATCCCTCACCAGTGGACATTGTTCTTGCTATCCAGCTGAATTCTCATGGGACAGTGACAGACGCCATCGGAGGCTCCCGACAGGTGACCCACTTTAGATGACACAGTCCTCAGACAATACCGTGAAACTCTGACGTTCATGACTTTCCCCGTTACAAACACTGCATTGTCCCAGTTTGCCTTTTAAACTATTCTCTTTTGAACCATCTAAACAGAACTCCAACAGCACAGCAGTGTAAGAATGAAGAAATGGAGCTACAAAACATTAAAAAGTTTTCACACAGCAAAGAAAACCATCAGATTGAATGGACCGAATGGAGGACAATCTTCACCAGCCAAATCTCAGACAGGGAAGTTAAAATTTAGATTATATGAAGAATTGTGTGCTGTGTGGTTTTATGCCAACTTGACATAGGCTAGGATCATCAAAGAGGAGGGAACGTCAATTGAGAAGATGCATCCATAAGATCTGGCAGCAGGCAAGCCTGTAAGGCATTTTCTTAATTCAAGATTGATGGGGGAGGGCCCAGCCCATTGTGGGTGGTGCCATCCCTGGGCTGGTGGTCCTGGGTTCTATAAAAAAAACAGGCTGAGCAAGCCATGGGGAGCAAGGCAGTGGACAGCACCCCTCCATGGCCTCTGCGTCAGCTCCTGCCTCCAGGTTCCTGCCCTGTTTGAGTGCCTGTCCAGGCTTCCTTCAGAGATGACTATGATGTGGAAGTGTAAGCCAAATCAACCCTTTCCTCCTCAGCTTGCTTTGGGTCATGGTGTTTCGTTGCAGCGATAGTAACCCTGACTATGATAAGCTGTAACAACTGAACAAAGAAACAAAACTGCCCATCAATAAATGGGCTGATGAAATAAATAGTTCCCAAAAGAAGAAACATAAACTATCATTATACAAATAAGCATTTTATGTTCAACATCCCTAGCCAATCAGGAAAACCAAATGAAAACGTTAAGATTCTGTCTCATTTGATTGGTTAAGAGTGGTTAAGAGCATTTGCTCTTCTTGTAAAGAACACAGGTTCAGTTCCCAGCACCCACGGCAGGCAGCTCAGAAGTACCTGCAACCCCAGATCTAATACCTCTTCTGGTCTTTGTGGGGGCAGCACACAGGTGCCACATATTCATATACTTGGGAGCACACATGTGCATGCAGACACACAATAAAATAAGTTTTATAAAAAAGAAGTTCAAGGAAAGAGGAATTCTTGTTCTCTGCTGAAGGAAGTGTAAACTGGTACAGCCCTTATAAAACCAATATAGAGAGTTCTCAAAAAATTAAAAATAAAGCTACCATATGATGCAGCTGTCTGCTCCTGGGTCTATGTCCAGAGGTCTCTATAGCCTACAACAGAGATACTTGCACACCCATGTTTATTGCTGGTGTGTTCACGATAGCCTGGAAATGGAACCATCCAGGTATCCATCAACAGATGAATGGATAATGACATGTGGCATAGATAGACAATGGAACTGTACTCAGTTGTAAACGAAATGAAATTACAAAACTGGTATGGCCGGGCGGTGGTGGCGCACGCCTTTAATCCCAGCACTCAGGAGGCAGAGGCAGGCAGATCTCTGTGAGTTCGAGGCCAGTCTGGTCTACAAAGCGAGTTTCAGGAAAGGCGCAAAGCTACACAGAGAAACCCTGTCTGGAAAAAAAAAAACAAAAACAAAAACAAAACTTGTAGGGAAACAGATGGATCTAGACATTATATTGTCCTCGTTTTTGTGTGTGTGTGTGTGTGTGTGTGTGTGTGTGCGTGTGTGGAGGGGAGGGGTATTGTTTTTGTTTTGTTTTGTTTTAAACTTGACACAAGCTAGAATTATCTGAGAAGTAGGAACCACAACTTAGAAAATGCCTCCATCAGATTGGCCTGTAAGCAAGTCTCTGGAGCATTATCTTAATTAGTAGTTGATATGGGAGGCCTCAGCCCACTGTGAGCAGTGCCACCCCTGGCCAGGTAGGCCTGGGTTGTATAAGAAAGCAGAAAGCATGGCCGGGCGGTGGTGGCGCACGCCTTTAATCCCAGCACTCGGGAGGCAGAGCCAGGCGGATCTCTGTGAGTTTGAGGACAGCCTGGGCTACCAAGTGAGTTCCAGGAAAGGCACAAAGCTACACAGAGAAACCCTGTCTCGAAAAACAAACAAACAAAAAAAAAAAAAAACAAGAAAGCAGAAAGCAGACTGAGCAAGCCCTGGGGAGCAAGCAGCACTCCTTCATGGCCTCTGCATCAGCTCCTGCTTTGAATTCCAACCCTGAATTCCTTCAGTGACCAAGTGTGACCATGAGTTGTGAGCTAAAATGAACCCTTTCCTCCCCAAGTTGCTTTTGGTCAAAGCCTGGCAAGTAGTGGTGCAAGGCCAGCCTGATCTACAGAGTGAGTTCCAGGAAAGCCAGCGTGGTTACAGAGAGAAACCTTGTCTCAAAAAATAGAAAGAAAGAAAAGAAGCCTAAGACATGCATTAAGTGAGGCACTCCAGCTCAGAAGACATCATGTGTTTTCCCCATATGAGGATCCTAACGTTTAATGTTTGTGTGCAGTTGTTATGTTGTTTTAGTCACTACTTTTCATTTTCTAGAATGTTCTACAAGTCCTATTAATCCTTTTGCAGCAGCTGAGTTATAATAAACCTGCTGCTGCAAATGGTTTCTCAGCCAAGGAGACCACGAAGCTGCTTCTCAGAGGTCACTTGGAACCAAGCTCTAAGACAACAGTTAGTTACCACACATCATATGGGTGTGACACTAAAGCTACGTTCACGAAACACGGAACATTCATAAAGATAATTAACAAGCTACCAGTAAAACACTATAACACTATAATATGACTGCCACAGAAATCTATAAATAAATAGCACTTAGTTCTTATTAACTGGCTTGAAAAGGTCATCTTTCATGGTTAATTGCTAGGACTTCTTGTCAGTGTGTAGATGTCACATTGCAAAACAAAACTCAGATAATTCTTCATGATAGATCACTCCAAGTTCAACAACAACCAAACACTATGGGGAACTGGAAATAATCTTCAGTGACACACTGAGTATAATTTTAACATTATTTACCTTAAGACATGAAATAATCTGCCCTCTTAGGTCACACTATCTACATTTTTTTTCTTACCTCTGAACTTCTTGGGTGGGTTAGCAAGGTCCCCTGCCTCTGGGTGTACCACACACCGGTCATCCACCAACCTAAAGGGAAAGAGTGTTTGTACTGTTACCATCATCACATCAGAAACCACACAAGGACATCGTATTGTAAATATTTACAGTTTGAATACTCAGAAACTTTTTGGGAGTCCTAGATTCATAAAAAGATCTGATTGCGCAAAGAACAGGAAGCATTAAGTGGTATGAAACTGGTTAGATCAGCTATGACCTTGACAGCCACCAAGCACAGAAGAGCTGTCTAAAACCCCATTAAGGGAAATGCCCTGACCTCTAGGACGTTATGGAAGTAAGCACTAACCAATCAGCAAGGTTGCGTGTGTGTGTGTGTGTGTGTGTGTGTGTGTGTGTGTGTGTGTGTGTGTGTGTTTAAAATGACATGTCTACGATCAAGCAGGCAATGTTCCTCCAAGTATGGGGAGCAGAGGGGCTCACAAGGCCCAGCCCTGAACTGAAGAGCTATTAGCAGGTGATAGCTGCTGAAAGAGTCATTTTTCTTGAGAGGTGCAGCCCTAGCAGGCTGCCCATACTGGAGCAGATGGCCCTACACTCTTGCACAAGTAGTGGACAGCACTAATTGACTCGTGGGTAATTGAAGGATGAAGAGGTGGAATGACATTGGGCGGGAGACACAGAGACAGAGAGAGCATGAGGGGAGAACCTCGGACTGGATATGATCTAAATACATTGCATTCATGTATGAAATTGCCAATGAATAAATAATAATTTAATGTGTACATTTACACATGCACATACCTCTACATATGTACATATAGAAACACAGAGGGCTGGAGAGATGGCCCAAGTGGCTAAAAGCGCTCACGTAATGCTCTTGTCGAAGACCCATGGTGACTCACAACCGTCTGCGACTCCGGCTCCGGTCACGGCTAACCTGACACCTCCCCTGGCACACTCGGGCTCCTGCACACACATGCACACATACAGACACTCTAGCACATACATGGAATGCAGCAATATATGAAGAGTGGTCAGGGGCCAGGTGTGATGGTGCATGCCTTTAATCCCTTGGGAAGCAGAAGCAGGCGGATCTCTGTGAGTTTGAGGCCAGCCTGGTCTATATAGAGAGCTCCAGGACAGCCAGGGCTACATAATGAAACCTTGTCTCCAAAAGAAAAAAAGAAAAGCAGTCAGATCAGCCCCAGCGTCTACGATCCTCTCACTCGTTTTCAGGTGACTGTGTCTGCGTGGCTCAAGGACACACTTCTGTGGTCACACATACGAGCATGGAGTGGGTGCTGGTGACACCCAGCTCTCGTCCTCACTTTGGTCACCCGCCACCCTGTAAAACAAGGGTGAGACTACCTCCCTGTGCCACCGCTAGGAGGGAGGGTTCGACGCCTCCAACCACTGTTTCTTCCTAAACCCACAGAAGCTCGAGGGTTTTGCCTGTTACTCCCACAGCACGCTCTGCTTCCGAAAGGAGCCTGGCACACCACAGGGGCTCACCAGTGCTGCCTAAGTTAGTAACCCTCACACGGTCCAAAAGCACATTTTGAACCTATTAAAAGTTTTATGAATGTTTCTAGGACAGTTCCAAGGAGGGAAGTCTGCACACCCTCTTGTGCTCACAGGGGACGTCTGCACACCCCCTTGGAGAAATCTAACTCGGATTCGGGACCCGGTCTCTCAGGGGCAGAGTGACAGGACAGGTCTGGCTGGCAGTGGCAGCGCTGTCATAATACTACGAGGTGAGTTAGATGCACACAAAGGAAGGTGTCCAAGTAGCGGCTATCCTCTTCATCCTTTTTCATTCTGGTATTAACTAGAATCTTCCCAGTGCATCGATTCCATTCACTTTGAATAAAAACCCAAACAACATGAAACTTAGGTTCCTGGTTTATTTAGTTACCAAAAGAATCCACTTCTAAACCATTAGATGTTTTTCTATGAGATCAGCTTTCCATGGGGAGGGGTTGAGCAAGCAGTACCATGCATACGTAGAGATATAATCCATGTTTATTGATTGTATATCCATATTTTTGCACATCATTCATGCCAGTTACTACCATGGTTGACACAAGCTGCCAGGCATGCAGAAATGCCTGTGGGGTCTTTAGATGGTGCTTTCTTAGAAATGGGAAGCTGGATGGCCTCAAGAAGGAGCAAAGCTGAACTACCACCCAGTCTAACTGGAGTTCCTAGCATGGAATCGGAAAGGCTTCGAGCAGCCCTGAGTATATCACAGCATCAGACTTAGACAAAATGGCCATGAAAGAAAGGACAGATTTTCTAAAGAGCCAAGACATGTTTAGAATGCAAAACATTATGATAAAAAAGATCAGTCCTATTTAGGGCACATAAAAATTATAGAAGTGAGGTGACACCCAGCTCATCTCTGTGCCTCCCATTCTGAGCTGAGTGTCATAGAGCTCCTCCCCTAATTTCAGTGCTGAGCAGTCTTAGAGAGAAATGGAACCGAAAGCAATTAATCAAAATGCAGGGCACTTCAGTAAAGAGGGTCTGGTCTCGGCTACCAGGGCCTCCATAAAACCGGTAAACCTAAGGAGCCGCACTGCTCCTGACAAAACTTCTGTAGAAACTGACCATTCCACCCTAAAGACTAAAGAAATGGAACTGAGCTTGGAAATAATGGAAGGAAGGAGGGTGGGGGGAAGCAAGGAGCGTCAGTCTGTCCATTCTAAGACATACTCAACCACTGATACTAGAAACCCAGCAGGTTGGCCATTTTTACTATGTTAATCTCCGTGAGCGTGGGAGATCTTTCCATCTTCTGGATTCTTCAGTTTCCTTCTTCAAAGCCTTGAAGTTTTTATCATACAGGCCTTTCACTTGCTTGGTTAGCATTACACCAAGATATTTTATATTGTCTGTGGCTATTGTAAAGGGGGCTGCAAGGATCTTCCTGGGGAGGGGAAATAGAATAGATTTCACCGGTGACTGGGGACGGGGATAGGAACAGGAGGGATCAGGTGTTGTGGGGGGAGAGAAAATACTGGGAGAAATGACTGGAATTGGGGGCATTTCGAGAGCAAGATAGAAACCTAGTGTGGAGGAAACTCCATGGTATCTACAAGAGTAAGCCTAGCAAAGACTCCCTCCATGGGGGACATGGAGTCTGTCTGAACCGGCCATCTTCTGTCACCAGGCAAGGCCTCGTGTGGAGGGACTGGGACACAAACCCAGCCACAAAACCTTCCACCTACATTTTGACCTCTGCAGCGTGTTTTGGGGTCAGAGCCTAGCAGAATCATCATGAGAGGGATCAGAGGAATTTCATGCAGCAACTGGTGGGAGTAGATGCAGAGTCCCACAGCCAATCATTAGGTGGAGCTCTGGGAGTCGGGCAGAGGAGGGGAGGAAGGATCAGAGGAACCAGCAGGGCCAGGAACACCACAGGAACACGGCCCACAGAATCAGCTGAACAGGGCTCGCAAAGATCAGGGAACCTGTCGGGGTCTGACCTAGGTTCTCTGCATACATGTTGTGGCTGAGTAGCTTGGTGTTCTTGTTGGACTCCTAACAGTGGAAGCAGGGGCTGTCTCTGACTCTTTTGCCTGCTTGTGGGACCCTTTTCCTCCTACTGGGTGGCCTCATCCAGCCTTGATGTGATGGTCTGTGCCTGGTCTTATTGTAGCTTGTTATGCTGTGTTTGGTTAATGTCCCTGGGAGGCCTGCTCTTTTCTGAGGGGAGGTGGAGGGGGGTGGTCTGGGAGAGAGAGAGGTGGCGGGGAGAAGGAAGGGAAGGGAGGGGAACTGCAGTCAGGATGTAATATATGAGAGAAAAAGAAAAACAAACAGTAGACTGGGCTGGAGAGACTCTGGGCTCCATGATTAAAAGCATTGGCTCTTAACAGAGAACTAGGGTTTGAGTCCAGCACCTGTATGGCAGCTTACAACTGTCTGTAACTCCCATCTCAGGGGGTCCATAGTCCCTTTTGGCCTACAAGGGCACCAGGAACATTTGTGGCACACAGATATATATGCACACAAACACTCATACACATAAATAACTAAATAAATTTTTTTAAAAAATTAAAGTTGAGCATGTGTGCACCCTGCTGTTGGCACGTCTATTCCCACGTGTGCACTCGCCCTAGCGAGGTGAGCAGACAGGACGAAGGATTGCATGTAATAAGCTATAAGCTAGGATGGAGGAGGAACTACAGAAGGTGAGCTGGAGACAGGGAGGAGGGATGGGAGAGGAGGAGAACAACTAACAAATACATATGGAGATGCCACAAACCCAATACGTTACATGCTGTCTTAGTTGGGTTACTAGTCCTATGGCAAACACCATGACCAGAATCGAGATGGGGAGGAAAGGGTTTATTTGGCTTACACATCTGCATCATAGTCCATCACTGAAGGAAGTCAGGGCAGGAAGTCAAGCAGGGCTGGAACCTGGAAGCAGAAACCGATACAGGGGCCATGGAGGGGTGTTGCTTGCTGACTTGCTTCCCCTGGCCTGCTCATAGGGCCACCTGCCCAGGGCTGGCACGCCCCGCAGTGAGCTGGGCCCTCCCTGCACTGATCACTTCTTAAGAAAACGCCCTACAGGCTCGCCTACAACCCAACCTTATGGAGGCGTTTTCTCAACTGAGGCTCCCTCCTCAGGAAGCAAGGTAAAACAAGGGGCCAACGACACAAAGATTCAGACTCACCCCTGAGAAAACCATGTATTTGACATCGTATATTCTAGACACAGACAACGTAAGGGACCTCCAAAATCACCCGGCCAGGAAGAGTGCCAGGACAGAACAGGGCAGAGCATTAAGTAGCCAGGAACTTTCCATTCTATAAAACCTTCAGAGACTGTGGTTGGTGACTAGGTCTGGAGCTCAGCACCTACCCCTCCCGTTCCCTTAACCACACTGCCGTCTTCAAAACAGCAAGAACATGAGACACAGCTATCACTTCCTGGCTGAGCAGACATAAAAGGGAGATATTCTTAGAGAAAATAGTTGGCAAGAGAAGTTCCCTGGCCAGAAAAACCTCTGGCAGCTGCAGAGTGATTCCCACAGTCATTACAGCGCAAGAAGCTA